CGGTCAGTTCGAAGTCGTTCTCCCTCGAGCTCCCCCCTTAGAGGCCGTAGATACCCTCCTATACGTCCGAGAGGTCATATCAGGCATTGCTCAGTCAGAGGGCTACAGAATGTCCCTACATCCAAAGCCTTACCCGAAATCCTGTGGTAACGCGGCTCATGTGCACATGTCCATCACCTCCCCCAACGGCTCAAAGCCTGAGACCTATGGACCCTTCTACGCCGGCATCCTCAAGCATCTCCGCGCCATCGCGGCGCTGACATACAGCAACCCCGTCAGTTACGAACGTGTCCAGGACGGCTGCTGGGCCGGTGGGCGGTGGGTGACCTGGGGCACTCAGAACAGAGAAACACCCCTGCGCAAGTGCGAGGACAGCCACTGGGAAGTCAAGTGCCTGGACGGACTCGCAAACCCCTACCTCGCAATTGCTGCCCTGTTGGGTGCTGGCGCGTACGGCGTCGTGAAGGGCGAGAAGCTGACCTGGGGAGACTGCGAGGTCGACCCTGCCTCCCTAACGAAGAATGATCGCAAGGAGTTGGGCGTGGAGCAGATGCTTCCTGCCGGGCTGCCTGAAGCTCTCAAGGAGTTGAAGGGTGACGACGTCATGAATGAGCTGCTTGGCGAAGAGCTCATTGAGAGGTATGCGACTGTCAAGGAGGAGGAGATGAAGTTCTTGGAGTCTCTGAGCGTTGATGAGAGACGTTTGTGGATACTAGAGAGATACTAAGGGGAAGGTAAGAATGATGTCAGAACGGCGACAGTTAAAAAACGGTTTCAAATCAGACAGCCCTGGAAAGAATAAATCCAATTCAGTACTGGCTTCATCCCCTCTACTTGCTCTCTTTGAGGATGGTCTGCATAGCCTTAACATACTCGTCGACCTCTTTTGCGCCGATGAGTGTAAGGTCTCTTCTCCTCCCTTCAAATACGATGTGTGGAACAGCATCCACGCCATCCATGGCAGCCGTGCGGATCATGTTCCTCGTGTCAATCTTGCCCTCCGTCTGATCTTCGACAACCTCTTTCGCTTCTGCCTCTGGAATCCCCGCCTCTACGCAGGCGTCGACCAGCACTCCCTTCGCACCTTGGTCCTTCTCCTGTTCAAAGTACCGACTGTACAGGGCTTCCACCAAACGGTTGGCGGTCTCCGCATCTTTGGCCTCTTGGAAGTGCTGGATCACGCGATGCGCATTGAAAGTGTTCGACATTGTCCCGCCCCAGGAGAAAGAAATGCCAACGGCTGTTCCAAGCTCGGACATTGTGGCCTCATAGACTGACTGCTTAATGTCGGAAGCATCGTGCTTGGTAGTCACATACCACTGGCGCTTATCCTGGGGCTCAGTCGGGAAGTCCGGGTAGAGTTGGTAGGGGCGGAAGACGAGCGTGAAGGAGACGTCGTTAGCTGTGGGTGAGGCGGCGATTTCCTCGAGGGCTTTGCCCAGTCTGTATGAGTTGACATGTTAGCATCGTTGATGCGGCTTAAAGTATCAACAGCCAAAGTGTTGCCGGGCGGATACTGCCTGTCGGTCACTGCTGCAGACGCCATCGCGCTCAATGCTGCCCTCCCCGTCCTCCTCCGCCGACAACGATAAAGTTGGAAAGATGGGGCGCTCGTGATCTTCTGTAAGAATCATCTCAGTCTCACCTTTTCTTTGCGATGTATGTCCTTAGATAGAGATTCGTCAGCAGATAAAATCGAGCACAAAGACGCATTCGTGTCGCCAACTCACCAAGGACATATTGTGTCAAAGGTGAAGGTTATCTGATACTTGTACATGTTGAAGAACTTCTGTAAATTGACGGTTGGTAGTGAGTTTGCATGTGCTTGGCTGAGTCCAGTTCAAAATCTCAGCAGATGATCGGCTCGGGTCTATGACAAATGCCGCTTGCTAACTTGTCATGACCCCGCACCGCCGTGAAGATTACATTCACGTGGTTGATTACATCAATACCTCGTGAACCAACACCATCATGTATTTGGAGCGGCAGAGATACTTCCAGACGAAGCGTTGGATAATAATTGATTTTTGTAAAGCCATCCTTTAATCTTCTCAAGTAAATACAGGTATCGATGCTTGTTTTTATCCCCCGCGCCCGCTCACGTCCCCCGGCCTTTGTGTATCTAAAGATTATTCCGGGAACTTTCCTCGGCTCTAATTCGCTGACCGCCAGTCTTCGATTTTCATAAAGCCATATTCACGGCGATGCGTGCTGCTTTTTACACATGATTAAATCGATTGAGGCTTCACGATAAGATCCGCCGACTTCGGGAACTTTCAACTCAAGATTGAGGACTGCTCCGCGCGTAGGCTGGGAAGGAAGCTCGAAGAGAGGGAATTACCCCCATTAATTTCCTAGTCAAGGCCTGTTGCCCGGAACAGTGGGTCACTAAGCTACTGGGAAGTAAAGTCGAAGCGAGGAAACTATTTGCACTAGAATTGAACTGTGCTAACTCAAAAGATAAGAGCCACGATAGTAGCGATGGGGCATCACGATAGGGGACAATAAAAGCCTTTGACTCGGCCCTACGGGTTTCATTGAATTATTATCGCAAGTCAGTTGAAATTGTCGGTAAGTAAGCTTCCATCTCTCAGAGACATACATCAGCTGTTAGCCAACATGCAGGGCGCACGCTGAATCAGTTCTACCTTCAAGCTGTCTCTGCACCCAGATAGCAACCCCAGGCCTCCAACACCATGGGTGCAAGTACCGTCTTCATCAATGGCCGTATTCTAGCCAAAGGTGGAACTGGCCTTGAAGCCCAGCCCACTTTCGCGGATAGTATGCTTGTCCAAGATGGCAAAGTCGTCACCATCGGCCCTCAAAGTGAGGTTCTACCGAAAGACGCCACGGGGTTTGAGGTCCGAAATCTTCAGCAGCGTACGGTGCTTCCTGGGTTCATTGATGGACATATGCACCTCCTGCTATTGGGCCAGTCACTACGGAAGCTCGACCTGGTTCGTTGCAAAACAATAGACGACATCCGATCAACTATCAAAGCTTATGCAGCAGCTAATCCGGACGTGCCAACAATTCTCTGCAAGAACTGGATGCATTCCATGACGCCGGGCGGGGTGAGCGCTGCACTCCTAGACGATATTGATCCGCGACCCATCTTTATCGATGCGAGCTCTCAGCACTCTTGCTGGTGCAACTCTGCGGCGCTGGAGAAATTGGGAGCGGCTGAGATGGCGGATCCCCCTGGCGGGAGCATTCATCGGGACGCACAGGGCAAGCCTACCGGAGTCCTCGACGAGGGTGCAATGATGTCTGTCATTTGGCCGTTCCAAGCCGCATCAGCCCCGAAACGCGAGCGCATTGAAGCAATCAGGGCAGCCATCAGAGAGTATAACGCCGCCGGTTACACCGGTGTGGTGGAGATGGCCATGGATGAAGAGGCGTGGGATGCACTTGTCACCTTGAAAGAAGAGGAGCCGGATCTTTCCATTCGTGTTGCGTCCTACTGGCTGATAAAGCCAACTGCAGATATCGAAGCCAGCTCAAGGCAAGTCCAACGTGCTATTGAGCTGAGTAGGACATTCAACTCCAGCAACGATCCAGATCTCCGCATCGTCGGCGTCAAGGTTATTTGCGACGGCATCATCGACGCGTGCACGGCATATCTCTCAGAACCCTACGCGCCAGCCGGTCTCCCGCCGCCGATCTGGGAGCCGGAACATGTGGAGGCTGTCGTCAAGAAGGCAGACGCTGGAGGACTCCAAGTCGCGCTGCATGCTATCGGCGATGCAGCCATTAAAATGGCCATCGATGCGATTGAGAAGAATGGAACGCCAGGACGGCGGCATCGGATCGAGCATTTGGAACTTGCATCGCCAGAAGACGCTCAGCGACTGGGCAACTTGGGCCTGACAGCCTCTATACACCCAGTGCATGCCGACCCTTTGATTTTGACGGAGTGGCCGAGACTTCTGGGAGAAGACCGCTGTAAACGGGCCTTTGCGTATCGCGAATTCGCAGACGCGGGCGCTTTGATGGCGATTGGGAGCGACAGCCCTACATCGCCGTGGGCTCCAATGCATAATCTCTATGTTGCATCTACTAGACGCTCGTCGAGGGACCCGAGCTATGAAAAGGTGGTCAACGAGCACTTCAAGCTGGGGTTGTGCGAATCAGTGGTTGCTGCGACTTGGGGCGCTGCTTGTAGCGTGTTTGCCGAGGAGAGAGTTGGCAGCTTGGCTGTGGGTAAGCTGGCGGACTTCATTGTCATGGACATGGAGTGGGATGCCGCTCGCCTGTTGAATGCGAAGGTTGAAGAGACTTGGTTTGGAGGAAACAAAGTCTGGGATTGTAAGAATGAACGTTGATAAGTCGTGAAATGATGATTCAGAGATCCGACCTGCTTTGATCAGGAAACAGTGCGGTCACGGTGACCATGTCTATCAACAAGAGGTCGGTCATGTTCAGCGGATGTTCAACGCATCTTCAGCGCTCTGCTGCAGCAAGACCAAACACTTCTCCGGTTGTCGAAAGATTGGCGTCTGCCCTGCTCATAGCCTGGAATCTGCTAACGAATATTCAAATGAACATTTCCTCGGAGGCTATTACAACCCATCGGAGAACAACATAATTGGTTCTGATTCCGAATGACGCGATGTAAGGGTCGGCAGTCGTGCAAGCTGGGCGCGACCATTATCAATGAGCTGACGGCCGACCACCCCGCCAGCCCGCAAACTCTCTCGGAAGCGCTCACCTTACGTAAATGTCTCATCGGTCTCCGAGCTCTCTCTGTCACACTCTCATTCGCAGGCGATCTCCGTCTTACTCACTCCTCGAATTGGTCTCACTGCGATTATCTTGTTTGAAGCCTAGAGAAGAACGGCCAACAGCTTGTTCTTGGTCTTATTCGCCATCTCGTAAGCTCTAGTACACCGACCATGTTAAGAAATCGAATTGCTGCATCGATCCTCTTCAAAAGACCCACCCCAGCGGCCTCAGCTCCATTCTATTGCGTGAGGAGCTTCAGTTATAGCCCAACCATCATGTCTCGGAATGGCGACCGCGAAGGCGGCAGTGAGTGATAACACAGCCCTTCTTGTCTTCACCTCAATATGCTAACAGCTCACAGAAAAGCCCCTCAACTTCGGCATAGTCGTCTTCCCGGCCTTCCAAGCGCTTGACGTCTTTGGGCCCCTAGACGCGCTGAATCTCTTATCGCGCTCGTACGAAATGAACCTGTCCGTCATCGCGGAGACGCTGGACCCCGTCTCGACGAATCAGATCCCAGGCGCACAGCAACAGCCCGGCGCCATTCCCGCCACCGGTCCCGCGGTGCCAGCGGCCAACTCCGATTTCGGCCAGACCATCTTACCCACGCATACCTTCAAGACGGCCCCGCCACTGGACGTGCTCATTGTTCCCGGAGGCCAAGGTACGCGGTACGCCGGCATCCGTGCCTCCATCGACTTTATCAAGGATAGGTTCCCCGAGTTGCAGTATTTGATTACGGTTTGCACTGGCGCAGGCGTGGCTGCGCGTGCGGGAGTGCTGGACGGGAAGAGGGCAACGACGAATAAGCTGTCATGGGAGCAGACTATTGCGCTGCGGCCGGAGGTGAACTGGGTGCACAAGGCGCGGTGGGTGGAAGATGGTAATATCTGGACGTCGTCCGGTATCAGCGCGGGTATCGATGTTACTTTTGCGTGGATTGCTGCTGTGTACGGGCAGGATCTCGCGAAGAACATCGCGGATAGGATGGAGTACACGCCCGCTGAGGACTCAAACTGGGATCCATTCGCAGATCGCTGGGGCACCAAGAAGGCGTAATCTTGTGGTTTGGATTTTGACGCTTTCGCGTAACTGCAAGGACCAAAATGAGAAAATATCAGTAGAAGACGCTATTATTACGAAGAATTTCGTTCAACAAATTGACAGCGGCTTCCAAACTCTCTCTAGCACATCTCAGAGAAGTTCGTGTGAAACCAACAGCTACAGCCGACAAACCTTCGGGAAGGTCACGCACCCGTTGTCGCCCAAAAAAGGAAGATAAGATTGGGAATTAGAAAACGACCCTTCAAATCTCCCGCCCCAGCACGGCGAGCACAGCGGGGCCCTGTCGCTATCAATAACTGGTACGTCAAGTCATGTCTTCTTTCACAAAGAACGAGCTCAATACAAGTGAACAACGAGTTCTAGCACAGACAGCCAGTACTAACCAGACCGTCTGGTAAGAATTGAGTTATAAGTGCTGACTTTGCTATTGATAGGGAGGGCGCTGCAAACGAGGTCCAGCTGAGAACCAAAGCAGTTGGCGGCTCCGGTTCTTTTCTGTTGGCCAACGCAATGAAGCAGGCTGCCAACGGGACTAACACATTGACCCCATTGAACGGGTAAGTACGAATGATGACGCCGTATCGGAACTTAAAACTGATCAGTTCAAAACTCGCGAAGATACAACATGGAGGCCAGTACCCAGTCGGTGACCTATGATGACAGTGGAACGCCCATGATTCCCGACCCTCTCGAGACTCAATGTGTGCCGCAATACTCCATTCAGGGCCACGCAGCTATCATCGATGGCTGGGTTGCCAACACAGACCAGCAGCCGTCTGTGTTCGATATCAACTTATCCGCTGGCGAGCAGTCTTCTTACGAAGACCTGAGCTTTACTTAGGCACAGGGGAATGCGTCTTTCAGCCGGTTCTCCGTGTTTAACTTCTATGACAATAGCGGCGGAAGAGTCGAGTACTCAAATTTTGACATGAGCTCGCACGCCAACAACTACAAGACAACCCCCATCGCACCCGGGAGCTGGTCAGTGCAGCAAATGCTCCTCTCACCTTTCTTCACAAGTCACCATCTAATGGGGCTTTTAGGAATGTCGACGTCAACGGCCTGATGGCTCAGGTGGCGGGCAGACCCCCGGCAATATTCCAGAAGGTGCGTCCTACGCAAATACTGGTCGCCTCGGGCATTAGCATGGAAATCATATTCGACGGCGATGCCAAGACGGCATTCGACCAAGACTATGAGGAGACGGTTCAGGGCGGGGGCAGCATTACCATTTTCGGTTTCCGCATCGGCGCCTCTGGCTCCTCCTCGGCAGAGAACCCCTCTCACGAGAGCACCTGGGATTCCAGCACGGGTACCCTCACTATCCTGTCGGAGAACTCTTGCGCGTCTGCCAACTTGCTGGCCGTGATGGGCAAAATTGTCGGCGCCTAGATATGGCTATTGACTTCCGTATTGCCCGGTATACAGGACCGACGCCTATACTTTCATCGCGATGATTAAGGATCAATGTTGCAGGGTCAGACTGTTGTAGCTCGAGGTCTATCTGTATAACCTAACTAAAATCATTCACTCATACTTTTGCGGACACTGTTTTTCCGTGACGAGGGTATGTGCTACCAAGAGCCAGCTCAGTAGATGAAGTAATTGCAGCACATAATGTACCTAGTATTGTGTAATTACCATGACAATCAGAAGATTACTGGGCCGAAGATGTCATCGATCGTCGGCTCATCCTCTCGTCCGATGACATTGACTCCGAGCTCCATCCCCTCCATAAACGGCATTTCCATACCATGAGTTGGAACAAATTGGGTCGGTTCCAGAGGAACTTTCGCTTCCCACGTACCCTCAACATGTTCCAGGTCGTAGCCCCGTTCCTCCGACGAAGATTCGACTGCGACCCGATCCTCTGCATCATGCTCGCTGGACGAATCCTGAGCGTTCAGCAAGAATGCCAGCTTGGTAAGGTCTGTTTCATCCTCAGGAAATCTGACTGGCGTAGGCAGCCCAGTCTCATCGCGGGACAAGATACACCCAGGGTTTGAGACTATACCGTGAATTGAAGGACTCCCACGCTCAGAAGTCGCAGGTTCTTCAAAGTTCCAGCGTTCGCCGTTACGAATCATGGCATACAACTTTTGAATAGTAATAGCAAGACTCTGCTGTGTAATTTCGAGGACTTCAACGTAGCTGGTGAAATTGTGTTAGCTAGCCGCAAAGTACGTCGAGGAAAACTTCAACTCACCCATCAGGAGGCTTTTTGGAACTATTTCGGCGTTCATAAGGTACATATATGGTCCCACTATCAACGCAGCGAGAGCAAGGCAAAAGGCCATCGCACTAAAACTTGGTAAGATAGTACATACCTAACTCCAGCTACATGGCAGCCCACCCTGGTCTTTGTAACCTTGCACCTACTGCATGCTCTGGATACCCTCATCTGTCTGCGACGCCCTGAAACGTTCTCTAGGGAGCTTTCGGAAGCAACTGGGGACGACAGGTGCGGACTATCTGCTCGCAAAGCTAATGCACCGCGGGGGTGGGTTGAAGTGGGTGCAGAACGGATACTGCGACAAGACCGCCGGGCCATTGCGACTGTTGTTGGTTTGGTCGGAAGCGTGATGTTGCAGGCTTGTAGAGCATGGAATTCGTTTTGTTCGTGAGAACAAGCTAGAACGATACAAGGCGGGATGAGGTAGAAATATTGGGAGTTATAAGTAGTGTGTACTTGGCGAAAAGGGGCCGCGGCGGCAGGTGCGCATTTGGTTACGACCAGGGGCTCGGTGCTTTTCCTTCCTGATCTGCAGACAGTCGTATAACTGGATTTCGCAGTGACAGGATTGCGGAGCTTTTGGTTATGCTCAACATTTTCGACAGGGACGATGGGATTTCATCAACCGGTGGGAACGATGACGAGAGAGCACAAACCTCAGCAGTCATTCGAACGTGTCGATGACGGCTTCGGGCACCTTGCCGCAAGCACTGTTTGCATCAACGCTTTTCTTTACGATTCTGAACCCCAACAGTCGTCATAAAAGTTTGGAGAGATAGTGGCTGGATGAGGCAGATCATTGGGTTGGGGAGCCTAAGTTGGTAACTTCATATCATGACAAACGGAATTATTACTTGCAGTGGATATATCCTTTAATGCACATTATGATGAGAATATCAATGCCGCACCTCTCTCGTCAATATGAAAATTACTACGCGTTTGAAGGGTTACGGCACTGTATTCTTTTCTGTTCCGATCGCCTGTCGTCCGTTTCTCATACCTTTGCCTCCCTCAGGCTGGAGACTAGTTGGCCGGCCGCAACGTCCTCGGCAACAGATCTTGTCATTTTCTAACAGAGCTATTTCTACGGACTCAGCAACCTGGTCATTGGTCAGATTACTACGAGGCCTTGGTTGAAGAGCATGCTAAACTACGTCACAAAAAGGATTAAGAGAACGACCTGTTTGAGGGTTCATTGGAGGCGGATGAAAGCTTCCCAAATGGGCAACTCCCTCGTGATTCTGACGTATTGGACTATATGACAAAGTAAACATTGACACTAAATGTCAACTGTATTAAAGATCCCTGGATGCACATGCTGCTCACCATACAACATATCCTAACCCAAACTTCACTAACACACCAAACCAACCCCTCGCCTAGCGGCGCTATTTCAATAAAGGGAAACCATAACAATGAGAGAAAGTTGTATTCTCAGTATTCCTACGGAGCTACTTTACGCTATCTTCGGAATGCTTGAACCCATCGACAGCGTCTGTATGGGATTGGCCGCCAGAAAGTTATACATGGTCCACCGAAGTCTGTTTGGTTCGGTGCCCCTCAACGTCAATCGGGGAGCTTTCTGCGTTAGTTCGCTTAGCTCAAACCCTTCTCTCCTTCTCCCAGAGGCTCTTCGTCAACTCTCCTGCCCGAAGTGCGAAGGCCAGCGATGTGAGTTTCATCACCACATCAAAGAATGGATGGGCTCGGGTCTAGAATACTGTGCCGTTTCGCAGATTTTCCGCCCAAAAGCGCCTCGAAATGCTGTTCGTTGGTGTTTTAGAAATATTCCTAAGCAGACAAAGAGATGTGGGCGGCACGACGGAAGAAGGGGATGGAAGGAGGGGATGGAAGGGTCAGGCGCTTGATGTCGCTGGGAGGAAACAGCAATGGATAGACATGTAGTGCCAGAAAGCTGGCCGGCGAAGACATTCGTGATATTATTTGTCATTATTTTCATTGATTATATTCACCTTGTGTGCCAGCGTAATAATACAACCATCAAACACCAACCAAGAACATAAATACAAATCATCTTGCTGCTCCGGGCGGCGAGTTTCCACCCCCAAGCTCAATGAGTAGGGCCGTCGTAGGGAGCTCGGATGGTTGTCTTGAGTATCCGGGTGGCATCCTCTGCGAGTACAATTCCTTTCTCTCGCCACTGTTTAGCTCGACCATGTTAGCCATGTTGCTGGCACCACTAGACTTGGCAGCCTTCCTCCTCCTGAGCCAGATGAACCAGGTCAGCCCTAGAACCATTACCGCAGCAACGCTTTCGCCAACGGCGCCCCCAATTATCCCAGCATTGCTTGAAGCATTACCACTATCCGCGGCAGATGTGGACGCAGAGGGAGTCTGAGTTGGTGCCGTGGTTGCCGATGTTGTAGATTCCGAGGTTGTTGTTGCCGATGTTGTCGTTCTCGATGTTTTCGCAACAACTTGTCCGTTCACAATACGCATTCCCAGCCCAGCTTCGCAGCATGATCGCGCCTGTTCGTAATAACCACAACAGTACGTCTGCTCATCCCCTTCCCCGTCATTGCAGCCTGCCACTGCCTGATCCATTTCGTTCATCGGAAGTTGATCAATGCCTATCACAAGAACAATGGGTTACTAATGCTCAGTATTCCAAAAATAAGACTCTTTCAAAGTCCCGCCCTCGAAAGGGTTCCGCGAGGCTCAGGAAAACAATGTTACCTACCAGTTTCGTTTTGGGAGATGCAAAGCTTTAAATATCCTGGGGATTCCCAGGTCTGGTCCGTACAGCTCCCCCGCCAAAGTACATTGCTAGAAGGCTCCCAACAAAGGCCAGAGCGTTGGCATCTGTCCTTGTTGTGTGTGTTGCAGCACATGCTAACACCATCCTTTTCGCATGGATCGTACTCATTGTCGCCAATGTTGCTGAGGCTATGGCGATCGATGCCGTTGGGAACGTAGCATGCGCCCTTGGCATTTGCAACTATTGCAAAGAAAGCAACGAGGACGATGACCGGAAACATGATGACAGAAATGATAAAGATAGACCCAAAAGTGCACTTGAAAGATTTCGAGGCAGCCAATATTTTGGAATGGGCAAGAGGGAATAAGCGCAAGCAGTCAGTCTTACCCTAAGGTCGTTGAGGGGTGAAGGGAAGTTGGAAACTCGCTGGTCAGCCATCTGCACGCGTGGACTGGTTGTACAAATACAAGCCTAAGGTCCCACAATAGGCAGTAATTGAGGTGACATGCCTCTCCTTTCGCAAACAGAAATATCGCCAAGTCCTGCAGGTCAGAATGATGATGCCGATCTGGGATTTTTTGGCAGTCAGAGAAAGAGAGAAAACTTACCACTCTCGAGAAATGAAGGACCAGAACGGGGATATGATAGGATGGAAGTTGGTCGTTGGAGCCTGCCTCGCACCCACAAGCAGAAATCAGGAGACGAATCGGGGCGCTTATCTACACAAGGCTCGCAACCTGATCTCGGATTTTGATTCTAAATCAAGCTTAATTGCAGTGGCTGAGGCAGACCCTGGTTATATGCTACTTTCTGTGTCCCGCTTCTTTCCAGGCTGCCTGCTTGCCTGTGTTACAGTGCATGGTTGATTGATGAAGCCTGATTTTTGGTTGGGATTATACTAATCGCACCAAACTTCGACGGTTGATAAAAGCTTCGCATGACAACTGCGTAGTTTTGTCTCTACCCCACAAAATTCCACGTTTCACCTCCTTTCCACAGCCCCTTGCCATCCCAATTCGTCGAAAGGTCCCTGAGTCTCGATCCTGTAACTCGAGTAGCAAAACGTACAGGCTACCCTCATCACCTTTTCTTTCCCTTGCTGGCATAGAGAATAAGGTTGACGTCGAGTTTTGCTGATCGAAATCTGAATGATAAGTGTCCAGCATTACGTGAGGCTGGGTTCTCTCGCAGTAGAATCGGACAGAATGCTGACATTTGTGCCGTTGACGACCATTTCCCAGTCCGCCGTGGTGCATGTAGGAGAAGATCGATAAGGTATTAGTTTCAACGTCTTCAATTCGCCCCATATCCTCAGCCAGCCGCCTCTTATGAAGCCTGTTGTATCTGGTGTAGCATATTCGAGGTCGTAGTCTTCGACTGCAATCATCACATCTGTCTCCGGTACGTCTGGAAGTCCGGGATTAACCTTGCCGGATGTCGATGCCCAAGACCAGCTCGGCGCTTTGTATGTAACTGGTGTCCGATCGCAAGTATCCACGAAATCTGCATGAGCCCGGTCCTCGATGTCGAACCGGTGTGTGGATACAGACACCGACCAAATGAGCTCCCGATCTAGGTACTTGGGCCACATTCCGGCAACATACTCGTCTCCTAGGGTTTTCATGACATTCTTCGCAATTGCGGAAAGAGCAACTAGCTTGTCTTGCTGAAACGTGAGCTTGCAGGATGTGTTTGTCTTCACTATCTCAGCCCAATAAAGGTAGACGTTGAGACCGTCGTTGGAAGTGGATTGGTTGCGAATCCCGAATTCTTCCAAACTAATCGAGGACGGCCGAAGGTTGACAGGCAAGTCGTCAGGATAACTCTCGGCAGTCTCTGTGCAAAGACACTCCCACATTACTTGGCGTTCCCCAAAATGTAATATTCGAGGCGACAAGAGCCTTTCCTGTAACACCCATGCTCTTTCGTTGATTGGAGTCTGAGATACTTCATTATCCCAGAACCTGTAATCTACCACAAGGTGTCGGACAAGTTGTCCTTCAAGGGGCAAGTCGACCATCTGAGGTGTCAAGCTTCTTAGGTTTCGATTGTGAAACATGGAGCTGTGACCATTTGGGGCGTGTGTTGCTGATATGTTGCAGTATGACTTTCCATAAACTTCCCCCATCCGCGTTGATTCCAAGTTCCAATCAGCAAGTACATCACCTTCCTGAACAATGCATAACGAGTCGATCCAAAGGTATTGAACCCCCAACTGCCGAGTGACCCAAACTGCGTCTTGGTACAACACTGGCAAATCTCCTAGTGGGAACCCTCTGGTCAGACACTCGTAGTTTCCCGCAGTCAGACGCAAACAGTCTACAGAACCCCAACAATGGCTCAAAGTCATGTACGGCCCGTGAAGCTTTGAATTGTTGGTATCGATGATCCGGCATTGCAAGCCTGAGTTGTCTGAAGAACCGCAGTCGAGAAGACGAGTCGGATACCACTGAGTGTCTGTTGGACTTGCCTTGGGGCACAATTCGTGGCTTGTTATGCACTTATTGATCCATCTTTTTGCAGTGGCAATAGTTTCGGGAGACTTGGTGCTCTCGCAGTGTGAATCAGCAGAAAGACACGCTGGGGTATCTAAGTAGTCATCAGCGACGCTTGCATAAAAGTCACTTCCAGGCCAATAGCACACCATGGAATGGCTTCAGCAAAAATGACAGACGCCAGTACGGTCTTGGCTTTGATGGAGACAGTGTGCTGACAGGTCCTGCGTCGAAGGCAACCTCCCACAGGAAGCATTTGGGGTGATTGAATTGCGCCCCATCCGAGATTGAAACGACTGTAAGGGGAATGGCGATATCACATGTCTCGACTTTCTCGAAACCAGGGTTTGTTGCAAGGGCATTTTCAGGTTGGCCATCGGAAAACGCAGATACCAGCTGTCTTTCTTCGGGGTCTAGCACGGCCCATAGTCTGTTGCAAGCATAGCGCCCGCAATCGACAGACCTCTTGAGGCTTCTGCTGCTCAGGTGGTGAGGCCTTTTTTGCACTTCCGGAATGAGACTGGTGTACAAGTCTGGCTTCGCGAGACAATCTTGACAGACCGGACAGACCAGACTCATTGCGTCGACGTATGAAGTCTTTCGCTGCGGAAAGCAAGACTGAGAAATCGTGATTACATATAATGAGCGACGAATGGCGAGAAGAGGGGTTCAAACTCATATTGACCAATTGATTAGCATCATCAGAATTGTATTGGCTGGAAACTACCGAGGATGCTGCAGGTCGAAATATGTTGGCCCCGATCACTGGGCGAACAAAATGCATCGTTGGTTGGTGAGTATGTTTGCCTTGCACCCTAATAATGTTTCCTATTGGCGATTGAGTCAAATTGTTGGATCCAGAATTGCCTGAAAGAACACACGAAGCATCATAGACGCCTCGAAGATAATATCCGGCATACTCGGATGCCAGACCTCAGCAGGTAAGTGTTGTTGTTGTTGTTGTTGTTGTCTGCTTTACAATTTATTCCCCATATTCACATGGACTGCCTTAATTTGCGAATACGCCTCAAGGCCAGCCTCTCCAAGCTCCCGTCCAATACCACTCTGCTTCACACCTCCAAAGGGCACCCTAGGATCACAATCCTGGCTGCTGTTCACCCACACCATACCGGATTCGATCTCAGAGGCTACTCTGTGCGCCTTCTCGAGGTTTGTGGTAAACACCGCGGCACCAAGGCCATAGACGCTGTCATTAGCAGTAGCAATCGCCTCTGCCTCTTCCGCAAACTTCTGGATCACGACAACAGGGCCGAAAATCTCCTCCTTCCAGATCCTCATATCACTCTTCACATCTGTGAAGACGGTTGGGGCAACATAGTAGCCCTTAGGAAGATGCGCTGGCCTTTCCCCTCCAGTCTTGATCGTCGCGCCCTCCTCTCGGCCAATCTTGATGTATGAAAGGATGCGCTCGTGCTGCTGCTTCGAAACTTGAGGGCCCTGGTATGTTGTCTCATCCCATTGGTGGCCGACCTTGCTGGTCTTCTCGACCTCTTCAACGAACTTTGCAACAAACGTATCATAGACGTCTTGCTGGACCAGGATCCTGGAGGTAGCAGTGCAAATTTGGCCCTGGTTGGACATGATTCCCAGATGGGACCACTTCACAGCCTGCTCCATATCGGCATCGTTGAAAACCAACAACGGCGACTTTCCGCCCGTTTCTAATGTGATGTTCTTCAGCGTTGCTGCTGCCATCTTCATGATGTTGGTCGCTGTTCCTGTCGACCCCGTGAAGGCGACCTTATCGACCAGGGGATGCTGGACAAGGGCGGCGCCGGCGTCCTTACCGAGACCGTTAACGAAATTCACCACACCCGGGGGAAATCCGGCTTCTTTGATGAGACGGCCGAGGATGAGAATACTCAGAGGCGTTTGTTCGGCTGCCTTGAGAACGACGGTATTACCGCATGCTAGCGCGGGGCCCAACTTCCATCTAAGAGTTTTTAGCTTCGGGCACAATATCGCATGCGAGTTTGACTCACGTCGCCATGGAGAGCGGGTAGTTCCACGGGATGATCTGGCCGACGACTCCAACAGGTTGTCGGACAGTATACGCAAACTTGTTCGGGACGCTGATGGTCTGACCAAAGATCTTGTCGCACCAACCGCCGTAGTAACGGATAACTCCAACTGCTTCAACGAGGTCGTTGGTCAGAGCCTCGGTGTACGTCTTGCCTGTAATGCGATTTGGTAAGAAGATGATGACCAAGACTTCCGTATTGGCGCCGGTTTTGACTCACCATTGTCCCATGCATCGACTGTCGCGAAAAGCTCCTTGTTCTCTTCAACTAGATCGGCCAGGCGGGCCATGAGTATGCCTCTGTCTGAGGCGGGCAACTCTTTCCATGACGGATTCTTGAGGGCTGCCGCTGCGGCTTTGACGGCCTTATCGACATCATCAGCAGAGGCGGCGTGGACGGATGCGATAACCTCTTCTGTTCTGAAGCAGTGTGTCAGGTTGTTATCCTGAAATGTTTCTTTCCCGAAGATTGGTTGTTGCACTCACGCGGGGTCAATAGCGTCAATCTTTTGGCCGTTCGAAGATGGCACGAATTCGTTGTTGATAAAAAGGCCGGTTGGCTGGGTCCACTTGCGGCCGTTGGGAGCCGTGAGGCCGACAGAGAGATCTGCCATTTTTGCGACTGTTGGAAAAGGAGGGGATGGGCTGTGTTGCGTGTGGTCGGCGGATTTGCTCTTCGGTATCAATATTTCAAGGCAAGTCAAGAGAAAAAGAAGCGGTGGAGGTGAACAGCCTGTGAAACCAACTGTGAGATATTCAAGACAAGCTCTTCATTTCAGATATGTTGTGGTCAGATCCAAGCTACGATTTGTCTTATCGACGACCGAACTCGGCCTCAGCAGACGTCCTTTACTCCGACTTGTGACGCACTTTCACCTCAGCATCGGCGTGGCCTGCCGGGGTGCTGAGAAGAGCACACAACACACTGCCCCTCCCCCGCAGTGGAGAGTTCAACTCATATCAATTTAGATTCCAGTCAGAATTGACGTGTGCATGAATGGTCCCTAGAATGCCAGATTCACCTTCCATATCTGTACTGCATATGGCTCCCCGATTTTATTCCTCATCCAAATTTGTAAACATGTCTCGGACACCAAGCTCGTCGCGGACACCTTCCTGATAGATGCCCCCATGATGGTGAGGGGCACCAAGCAGCCCAAGTTGAAATGAGGGGCATTAACCCCACCATCATTGGCGATAAGAGGTATGATAATGGGCGTGGTCCCTGAATTACCTCTCCATTTGCGGACAGGGTAGCTCCAGGTCATGAGAAATCAGAGACTGTAGTCCAGCTGAATGGTGATGGTGTCAGACTTGACTATTTGCGCCACTTGAGTGTGTTGTGTGTGATACGGAAATGACTTGATTTTTATCTATCTACAAGCTTTAGATTTGTGCAGCAAATGACATTGTTCAGAGGTTGCTTCGCTGTACCTCGGCCTCGCGCTCCACCGCCTTAGGAATTTCGTCTAGCAGATTCTCGCCCGCAGGCGCCCAGCCGAGCACCTCCTTGCCCCTGACCGCCTCGCTACGCGCATTGGTTCCAAAGAGTACAGCTCCGTGAGGGAGCAGAGTGTTTGCGTCTTCGGGGCTGAGGACCTCAACATCGTCTGAGGGGATGAGTCCCTTCTTCGCGGCGGCCGTAGCGACAAGCTTCGAGATCTCGCCAAATGACTGGACACAAGCACAATTAGTAACGGCACGAGTAGCAACAGAACGACAGAACTTACGATCTCGCCCAAGCCAGTGAGATACAGACCGTTCTCCTTCCAGACCTGCGCATCGGCCTTGCCCTCAACAGCCTTCTCGACCAACTTGACAAAAAGCTGGCTGACATCCTCAACGTGCACATTGCCCCAGCGGCTCAGGCCCTTGCCGACCTGGATGCCTCGCTTGCGCTCCAGTGTTGTCTTGGCCAGCGCAGGGACTTGGACGCTGCGCTTGTTGCCGGGACCGAGGCCTTGACCGTAAATGATAGGCGGGAAGACCAGCGCAGTGTTGATCTTCGATTCTTCGGCCGCGACCTTGAGGATGTAGTTGTCGACGGCGCGACTCGGGTGGCGCTGGATGATGGAGCGGATATCGGCGATGCCAGTGAGATCGTTGAAGACAAGGTCGCTGCCGTCGCCGGGGGCGCGGCTCTTGTCTGCCAGCTCGGCCGCGGCGAGAGCGCTGGCACCAGAAACTTGGACCCAGTGTGCTACAAGGATACCAAAATCAGCATGGGTTCAATTGAGTCCATTCAGTGGCGACAAGAATAAAGAAGTTTGCTCACATGGCTTCTGGCTAGAGGCGAGGGCCTTGTGAATAGTCTCGACGCTC